AGAGGCTGATTTTGCTCCAAGTTACACCACTGTCACTTAGCAGGCTGCATCCTTGGACACACCTTTTTGTTGGATTTGCAGCCAATTTTAATTGACTTTTTAATTCAGTTTTTCCTGTGGCCTCACACATGGATTTCTAGTCCTCAAGACCATCATGTATAAAATTGGGTCATACCTACCTGGTGGGTTTGTTTAGGGGAACTCAAAGAGATAACTTGAATACAAGTGGCCAGCAAGGCTCATTGCAAAATATAAGTGTGGGACAATTTTAAAGAAAAAACTACTGAAAGTATCAGTGGGGGAGCACAGCATTAGAGCCAGCCCTGTTCCCCTTCTGAGGACAGGTCCCCACATTACCGTCAGAAGCCATGGCACCCACCCCATCCACAGGAGAAGGGAACTGGGAACACCGGCCTCTGTCCATTAACACCCAGAGCTCCATGCTGAGAACACCTGTGTTTGTGGAGTCGTAGATGTGAAGGGCTTTGCTCTTCAAAACTTTATCTGTCAGACTGGGACACCCCTTCTTGCCTGAGGATCTGAGGGGCTTTGCTGGAAAGACCCTGCCTCAATTTCCTACTCACAGGTTAAAGGTTTGGGGACACAGCATTTATCTTCCCTTTAAAGAATGAGACCCTGAGTTACATCTCAGCTCAGGCATGAAGCAACCACGATCTACATGGCCTTGTTTGGCTTTGAACCTGTGAAAACTAAGGATTCATTAACCCTTCCCTCTATCCCATGTTAACTCATCTCTGGTTTCTGGTGAGCCACCCCATGGTTTATTGGGTGTGTGACCTCCTAGCTGAAGGAACAGGACCCTTCCCTGATGAACAGAGATGCCCCTGGGCATTATCTCCAGGATTAACATAGCTGCAAAGGAGTCATCTTTATACCTTGCCTAGGAAAAATAAGTCGCTGCAATTGCAGAATTCCTGACAAGGGCCGTGTCCCACTGGTGAGGAACAATGGCAAGAGACTCCCTTGAAACTCACCATGGCACCCTGAGCAGCCTTTTGGAAACTCCCTTCTATGAAAAGTCATGCCTGGTCTTGCACATAAAACTGCATCATCAGCTTTCTTAAAAGAAAAAAAAAAAAAAGCCTCTGTGTGCTGCAAACCATAGATCTTTCAAACACACAAATTTTTATTTTATTTCTTTATTTAGGCTGCACCAGGTCGTAGTTGTGGCATGTGGGATCTAGTTCCCTGACCTGCTATACTTGGCAGTACAGAGTCTTATCCACTGGACCATCAAGGAAGTCCTGTAAAAAACAGCATTTTTCTAAATCACTTTTTAAAAAACTTTCAATTGGAATATAGCTGATTAATAATGTTGTGATAGTTTCAGGTGGACAGCAAAGAAACTCAGCCATGCATATGCATGTATCCATTCTCCTCCAAACAGCCTTCCCATCCAACAAAAAAAAAATCTCCTCCCATTAGCAGAGTTCACTGAAAAGCAGCATTTTCGATGAAGAGACACAATAGACAACAATTGAGTCTCACTTCTTTCTATAGTGTAGTACTATAGCATGTATCTAAATTGACCCTGTAGTATATAGATTTTTACTGCAAGGTCCATAAATAAACAGATACATATATATATATATATATATATATATATAAAATGTATAGATAATTATATATATATAAGTTGATGATGTCTACCTCTCTAATATCATTTAGAGCTAAAGCAGAAGGAATCATGATTAAGACAACTTATTTTCCATCAAAAAAATCCTATCCCTGGGTGCCAGTCAGGGACTCTGTCTGTTGGAGGCAGCCTCCAATGGCTTTGCCCAGCCTCAGATTGAGATGCTGAGCCACAGCAGGGGACCTGAACAGGACTGAAGTTCTGGGGGCTCCTTCAGGATGGGGGTCCACCCAGGGTACCCACATTTCGAAAAGGCTTGGAGTTCTACTCAGAGCTGCATGGCAAGCTCCATCCTGAGCTTTAGCATTTCTGAAAAGCCAGGTCAGTGTCTCTCCAACACTGAGATGGATGGATGTTACTAAGTGAGGGCTGTTACTTAGTGATGGAGGTCCCCCCGAACCCAGTGAAGGGGTCCCCACTGCTGGGCCTTTGTGATACTTGGCTGGGGAGATTCGTTCAGTGGCAGCATCATCCTCCCACTCTGTCTCTGATGAAAGGAAATGGAGCACCCATCTGCCCATCACGTGTCCCACTGAGATTTTATGAGACTTGCATGTGATTGTCTTGCAGTGAATTAAGAAAAGATTGTTTTCCCTCTTTCTTTTTGCCCTTTTGCATCTTTTTCCACTTTAACTGTTCCTAACCTACAGTCTGCACTGATAACCAAGTTTCTTCTTATCAGAAGACTAACCAATTATGCAAACTACATCCGGCACCTATGGCCCTCCATTTCTGCTGGAGCCATATTCTGCATCTGTTATCCTTTAACATAGTCTAGCCACATCCTAATACTTAACTTTATCGCATCATTAACCTCCCCTTGTAGTTTGTTACCTCTCTTTGCTCTGTGTTACCTCATGTTGATGCTTAACTTTACGGTACACTCTCTTTGGAAGCCACCCCCTAGTAGTTTGCTTTCCCCCTTCTGTATTACAGGAAGAAAGTCACCAGGAAATCCTCAAAGGACAATGGACCCAACCACCAGGACCAACTGCCAGACCCAAATACCTAGATACTCGACACTGGCCTATTGACAGTTTCCAAACAGTGCAAAAAGGGAGGATTCACGATCCCTACACCTTTTGTTGTGTATCTCCAACCCCTGACTCTGAGCCCCAGCTGTATGATCCCCTGGATTCCCAATGGAGGGGAGACAGGATCCTTGAGGCAAGAGCCTACTGTGTTCTCCCTTCTGCCAGCTTAAGGGTTAAAGCCATCTTTCCGTTTGCTCCAAACTCTGTCTCCACACGTTTTATTCAGCTCCAGTGGGCAGAGAAACCAAGATTTTGGCGGTAACTGTTGCTGCCAACCCGTAATGGGCTAGCTGCTGTGTGGAGCAGGTCGGGACCACTGGGTCTCTTCCTTCAGTGCCCTATGGGTCAGAAAGAGCATGGCTGTCTCTGTGGATACTGGAGTCAGCAAGTCTTGCGCAGGAAAGAAACTGCCTCTGAATGAGTTAGTCCCCAGTTTACCCTGAAACAGCCTCTCAGCGCATCAGTGGGCAGATTCAAAGTCCTGGAGGGGCGAGGGTGGGCTGGGGAGTGGTAAGCCAAGGTTGAGCAAGAAGTCTGTGCCCCTGCCAGGGGAGACAGGCCCCTGGCCCTTGCCACAGCCCTACCCACCAGCTGAACTGACTGCCAGGGAGAAGCATCTGGTCAAAAGGGCAGCAGGAAAGCTTTTTCTGGGGTTTTCCATAGCCTCATTAGCATAAGAGTGACTGATCCTGCTTTGTGTTATAAAGGCCACTCCCAGGACACACAGAAAGAGACTCAGTTAACCAGTTCATAAGAACCAAATCCACAGCCAGCGCGGAATTTCTCCTGGAACCTGGGACCTTTATAAAGCGGCAAGCGCAGCCTCTGCTCCAGCGTCAGTCCCAGAGCTCCGGTCGCCAGCATGAGGCTCCATCACCTGCTGCCCGCGCTCCTCTTCGTGGTCCCGTCTGCTGGGTCAGGTGAGCTTGTGGAAGCCCCCGGGGCTGGGTGGGGGGGGGGGGGCGGGCTCTCTCTCCTGTTTCTATCCCCTTCTTCCTGCTACCCTCATCTACACGATGTCAGACTAAACCCACCGTATGTGATGCTTCTGAGAAGCCAGCGCTGAGTCCTTAGTAGCAGGAGGGGTCTGAGAACCACCCTACAAAGTTCCTGGCTGTTTCTAAGCCACTCTAATGAGTCAAACCTTCTGAGCCCATCTCCTCATTGGTTTCATGAGGAGGAAACAGAAGATGACTCTGTTGAGTGACTCTCCTTTTTTCTTTTTCATTAAGGTAAGAAAAGGCCGCTGGTCAAGAGGAAACCACAAAGGAATGAGGAGAGTGTGTGAGGAAAGCGGGAAGTCCACTGGTCGGAAGGAAGCCACAAAGGGATGAGGAGAGCCTGTGAGGAAAGCCGGAAGGCCGTTGATCGAGAGGAAACCACAAAGGGATGAGGAGGGCCTGTGAGGAAAGCTGGAAGGCCTCTGGTCGGGAGGAAACCACAAAGGGATGAGGAGAGCCTGTGAGGAAAGCTGGAAGGCCACTGATCGGGAGGAAACCACAGAGGGATGAGGAGAGCCTGTGAAGAAAGCTGGAAGGCCGTTGATCGAGAGGAAACCACAAAGGGATGAGGAGGGCCTGTGAGGAAAGCTGGAAGGCCTCTGGTCGGGAGGAAACCACAAAGGGATGAGGAGAGCCTGTGAGGAAAGCTGGAGGACACTCGTCGGGAGGAAACCATAAAGGGATGAGGAGAGCCTGTGAGGAAAGTGCGAAGGCCACAGGTCAGGAGGAAACCACAAAGGGAGGAGGAGAGGGGCTGACTCGCTCCAGCGCTGAGAGCTCTGAGTCAGTAGAGACAATGATACAAAACTTTTTTTCCCGAACCATTGTCACTGTTAGTTGTAAGTTACCTTTAAGAGTAAGTTTTCTTTAAACACTTCTTACACTGTCAGCTGCATCTTTTCCTCCTATCTCAGCTCCAATACTTGACTGACTCCTTGAGTTGGAAAACTAGACAGTGAAAATAGACGCCCGCGGGCCACTTCTGACCCCTGGCCGGAAGGTGGATGTAGCAGAGCTTCCGGGTCTTTGCCCTCGAGGTCGGGCTGACCCCGCACACAACCGTGGTCCTCACACACCAGTCCCTCAGCCTCTGCTTCTGGGGTGAGGGTCCACCGGAGCCCGGGCAGGGCCAGCGTCTGTCTGGAAGCTGGTCCACAGTGTCCTGAGCTCACATCCTGTTGTTACGAGGCCGTGTCTGCATCTCAGCACAGAAAGCCCCAGGGCCTCGCTCAGAGGGCACACAGCTGCCCTTCTCGAGATGCCGCTTTTCCTGCTAGCACGTTCTTTCCCTCTTCGTTCTCTTTTTAGGATTTGCTCAAGGAGTAAAAAATCCTCAAAGCTGCCATAGGAATAAAGGCATCTGTGTGCCGATCCGGTGCCCTGGAAACTTGAGAGAGATTGGCACCTGTCTCGGTGCCCCAGTAAAATGCTGCAGAAGGAAGTAAAAGAAGATGAAGACGCGGCCGGGACGATGTAGAGCCAGAAACTGCACCCTTCGACAGAGCATCTAAAGTTTAAACCAGAATAAATTTTGTTCAAATTTAAAGAATTGCCCACTGGTCACTGAGGTTGTTGTGTGGTGTCTGATCCCAGGCAAATTCCGAAATCCCTGAGGATGCTCTCTGAGCTCCTTACGGGAACCATCAGGGGATCGTGGTGGGTGCTCTGATCCCCCTGTTCCTTGGGGGCCTGACCTTCCCCAGCCCCTCTGTCTGCAGTCCTTCCTGCTTGCCGGCCGAGGGCACCCTGTCCTGCCCCTCGTCTCCCCTCAAACATGCACCCCAGGGTCCAGAATCAGCAGAACACCAGGCCCAAAGGAAACCCCAAACCCCTGCTCAGGAGGAAACCCCCTCCTCTGTCCCCCTGCAGCCCTCACTTCCGTTTGGTTTATGCTTCTTACCCCTGCCTTGTGCACACGTGGATACAGTTCCGGTTCCCTTTTGGGCCATAAGATCTCTGTAGGCATGGACTTGTCCTATTCCTATATGTGCCGGGCATTGAGCCGAGACATAGCTTCATAAACTGTCATCAGTTGAATGACAGAGTTGACTTGGACAAAGCATGTCTCTCTGTGTGGACATGATACGATGCAACTAAATGAGAGGGAAAAACAAGTCCTTTGGAAATCACAATTCAGTGAAGACAACACAGCACGGAACACAGAGCCCGCAAGGGCAGACTGAGCACGCTGACCTCAGCCTGCCTGCAGTTTCTTCAGAGGGTTTGCCAGTTAAACCAAGAGCCTTGCTGGCGCATGCGGTATGTGTGAGCAGCTCTCTGGTCTTCACACTAACTCTTCCCTCAGTGCAAGCTGAGGTCACCAAGGGGATGGTGTTAGGAGACAGGGCCTTTGGGAGGCGATTTGGTCATGAGAATGGGACCCTCCTGATTGGAATGAGGGCCTTTATGACAGAGACCCCAGAGAGATCGCTCACCCTTGTGCCCTCTGAGGACACAGGGAGAAGACCGCCATCCACCAGCCACCTGCTCTGTCTCGATCCTGGAGCTCCCAGCCTCCAAATCTGAGAAGTAGAGTCTATTGTTAATCAGCCACCTATTACAATCCCACATGTAAAATAGATAGCCAGTGGGAATTAGCTGTATGACTCAGGGAACTCAGATGGGGGCTCTGCGACCAGCTGGAAGGGTGGGATGGGGAAGGAGATGGGACGAAGTTTCGGGAGGGAGGGGACATGGGTGAACCCATGGATGATTCTTGTTGATGTATGACAGAAAACCTCGAAATTCTGTAAAGCAATCATCCTTCAATTAAAAACTAAAGTGCAAGAAAAGCATCATCTAGCCTTTGGTGTTTCTGTTTTAGTAGCCTGAAAGGGCAGACACATGATAAGTGAGAATTCCAGCACAGGTGGAATTATGGTACCAAATCATTGGCCCTTAAGATAGGGAAATGACGTGGATTATCAGGCTGTGCCCGGTGCCATCTCCTTACAAGGATCCTTCGATGTGGAGGAGGGATGCAGCTCAGTGTCAGAGAGATGTGCGCTGAGAGCCTAAACCAGCCCCAGCTTGCACAGACATGGAGGGGGGCCGTAAGCCAAGGAGGGCAGGCAGTCTGTAAGCGTGAAAAGGATGGAAGCCTCCAGAGGGAAAGGCATCCTGCTGACACTGTGATTTGAAGCCAGCGAGACCCATTTGGGACTTTGGATCATCAGAACCACAATAACAAGTATGTGTTCCTTTAAGCCACTTAGCTTGTGGCAATTTGCTAAGCTGCAACAGGAAATCAATACAGCAATCGCTTAAAATCATGCCTTGAGCCTAAAATTAGGAGCTCAAAAGAGACAAACCTGTGTGTTTAATGGAGGAAAAAAATCATAATGGCTGTCAATATTTTACTCAGCTTTATATTTCTTTTTTCACAGAAATGCCCATGGTGCATCTGCAACTCTTTTTCATCTCAAACGTATTTGGGACTCAGTCTTACACCTCATATATCTTATATCCCCTTTATCCTTTATTTTTAGTTTGTTTTATTATCATGGAACATTTATCTGCCATTAAATGTGGTTTGGTGGTAGTTTATATAAATTTTTTATCATATTCTTTGTTGGGAATTCAGTTTTTAATTTCTGCTTAACTTTAAGTTGCATTCTTGTATCTGTTGTTCCTGTTGACGTTTTATTGCCATAACATTTCTGGGTGTCATGTTGGACTCCTGCATGGGAGAAATGCTCTCCTCATTTCAGCACCAAGAAGAGGATGTCTTTCCCATGTGATTCATGAACCAAATGGGCTCATGCTTTGGTCCAAGGCCAGTTATTATTTCACCTGGCTCCTGGGTCTCATTTCTTGTGCTTACTCAGGGGTGAGACCCTAACCACCTCCACCTCTTGCCCCTGTCTACTGCAGCTACAAAAACCAAAAGCAGGGACTTACCTGGTGGTCCAGTGGTTAAAACTCCAGCTGCCAATGCAGGAGCATGGGTTCAATCCCTGGTCAGGAAACTAAGATCCCATATGCTACAGTTCAGTTCAGTTGCCCAGTCATGTCTAACTCTTTGGGACCCCATGGACTGCAGCACACAAGGCCTCCCTGTCCATCAACAACTCCCAGGTGTTACTCAAACTCATGTCCATCAAGTCAGTGATGCCATTCAACCATCTCATCCTCTGTCATCCCCTTCTCCTCCCACTTTCAATCTTTCCTAGCATCAGGGTCTTTTCAAATGAGTCACTTCTTTGCATCAGGTGGCCAAAGGATTGAAGTTTCAGCTTCAGCATCAGTCCTTCCAATGAATATTCAGGACTGATTTCCTTTAGGATGGACTGGTTGGCTCTCCTTGCAGTCTAAGAGACTCTCAGGAGTCTTCTCCAACACCACAGTTCAAAGGCATCAGTTCTTCGGTGCTCAGCTTTCTTTATGGTTCAACTCGCACATCCATACATGACCACTGGAAAAATCATAGATTTGACTAGACGGACATTTGTTGGCAAAGTAATGTCTCTGCTTTTTAATAAGCTGTCTAGGTTGGTCATAGCTTTTCTTACAAGGAGCAAGCTTCTTTCAATTTCATGGCTGCAGTCACCATCTGCAGTGATTTTGGAGCCCAGAAAAATAAAGCCTCTCACTGCTTCCACTGTTTCCCCATCTATTTGCCATGAAGTGATGGGACCAGGTGCCATGATCTTAGTTTTCTGAATGTTGAATTTTAAGCCAACTTTTTCTCTCTCCTCTTTCACTTTCATCAAGATTCTCTTTAGTTCTTCTTTGCTTTCTGCCATAAGGGTGGTGTCATCTGCATAGCTGAGATTATTAATATTTCTTCTGGCAATCTTGATTCCAGCTTGTGCTTCATCCAGTCCAGCATTTCACATGACATACTCTGCATATAAGTTAAATAATCAGGGTGACAATATACAGCCTTGACGTACTCCTTTCCCTATTTAGAACCAGTCTTTTGTTCCATGTCCAGTTCTAACTGTTTCTTCCTGACCTGCATACAGATTTCTCAAAAGGCAGGTCAGGTGGTCTGGTATTCCCATCTCTTATACTCCCCAGGTCAGTAGGTGCCCAATATGTTACTGGAGATCAGTGGAGAAATAACTCCAGAAAGAATGATGAGAAAGAGCCAAAGCAAAAACAACACCCAGTTGTGGATGTGACTGGTGATAGAAGCAAAGTCCGATGCTGTAAAGAGCAATATTGCATAGGAACCTGGAATGTTAGGTCCATGAATTAAAGCAAATTGGAAGTGGTCAAACAGAAGATGGCAAGAGTGAACATTGACATTTTAGAAATCAGGGAACTAAAATGCACTGAAATGGGTGAATTTAATTCAGATAACATTATATCTACTACTGTGGGCAAGACTCCCTTAGAAGAAATGGAGTAGCCCTCATAGTCAACGAAAGAGTCTGAAATGAAATACTTGGATGCAATCTCAAAAACGACAAAATGATCTCTGTTTGTTTCCAAGGCAAACCATTCAATATCACGGTAATCCAAGTCTATGCCCATCCAGTAAAGCTGAAGTAGCTAAAGTTGAACGGTTCTATGAAGACCAACAAGACCTTCTAGAGCTAACACCCAAAAAAGATATCCTTTTCATCATGGGGACTGGAATGCGAAAGTAGGAAGTCAAGAAACACCTGGAGTAACAGGCGAATTTGGCCTTGGAGTACAGAAATGAAACAGGGCAAAGGCTAATAGAGTTCTGCCAAGAGAATGCACTGCTCATAGCAAACACCCTCTTCCAACAACACAAGAGAAGACTCTACACATGGACATCACCAGATGGTCAACACCGAAATCAGACTGATTATATTCTTTGCAGCCAAAGATGGAGAAGCTCTCTACAGTCAGCAAAAAACAAGACTGGGAGCTGACTGTGGCTCAGATCATGAACTCCTTATTGCAAAATTCAGACTTCAGTTGAAGAAAGTAGGGAATACCACTAGACCATTCAGGTATGACCTAAATAAAATCCCTTAGGATTATATAATGGAAGTGAGAAATAGATTCAAGGGATTAGATCTGATAGACAGAGTGCCTGATGAACTATGGACGGAGGTTCATGACATTGCAAACATTAGCACGGTCTTTTTAGTGCTTATTTTTTCAGCAAAACCCTTTTGCTGAAAAGTGGCAGCTCCCACTTCCTCTCATCCCTATAGGGGAATTGATCCTGTTGCAGTGAACTAAGAAAAGTTTTGTTTTCTTTTTTCTTCCTCTTGTTTCTTTTGAGTCTTTCCCTACTTCCTTGTTTTTGTTTAGTCGCTCAGTCCTGTCCAACTGTCTGTGACCCCATGGATGGCAGCACACCACGCTTCCCTCTCCTTCATCTCTTAGAAGTTGCTCAGACTCATGTCCATTGAGTCGGTGATGCCATCCAACCATCTCATCCTCTGTCATCGCTTTCTTCTGCTGACTTCAATCTTTCCCAGCATTTGGGTCTTTTCTAATGAGTTGGCTCTTCGAATCAGGTGGCCAAAGTACTGGAGTTTCAGTTTCAGGATCAGTCCTTCCAATGAATATTTAGGACTGATTTCCTTTAGGATGGATTGGTTGGATCTCCTTGCTTTCCAAGGGACTCTCAAGAGTCTTTTCTAAAACCACGGTTCAAAAGAACCATGAGTTCTTCATCACTCATCCTTCTTTATAGTCCAATTCTCACATGCATACATGACTACTGGAAAAACCATAGCTTTGAATATTCAGATCTTTTTCAGCAAAGTAATGTTTCTACTTTTTAATAAGCTGTTTGGGTTGGTCATAGCTTTTCTTACAAGGAGCAAGCATCTTTTAATTTCATGGCTTCAGTCACCATCTGCAGTGATTTTGGAGTGCAAGAATTTAGTCTTTCACTGTTTCCACTGTTTCCCCATCTATTGGCCATGAAATGACGGTATCAGATGCCATGATTTTAGATTTTTGAATGTCGAGTTTAAAGTCAGCTTTTTCCACTCTTTGCTTTCACCTTCATCAAGAGGCTCTTTAGTTCCTCTTCACTTTCTGTCATAAGACTGGTATCATCTGCATATCTGAGGTTACTGATATTTCTCCTGGCAATCTTGATCCAGCTTGTGTTTCATCCAGCCTGGCATTTCACATGATGTACTCTGCATATAAGTTAAATAAGCAGGGTGACAATATACAGCCTTGACTTACTACTTTCCCAATTGGAACCAATCTGTTTTTCCATGTCCGGGTCTAACTGTTGCTTCTTGACCTGCATACAGGTTTTGCAGGAGGCAGGTCAGGTGGTCTGGTATTCCCATCTCTTTCAGAATTTTCCACAGTTTATTGTGATCCACACAGTCAAAGGCTTTAGCACAGTCAATGAAGCAGAAGTAGATGTTTTCTGTAATTGTCTTGCTTTTTCTATGGTCCAACAGATGTTGGCAATTTGATCTCTGGTTCCTCTGCCTTTTCTAAATCTAGCTTGTACATTTGGAAGCTCTCAGTTCACGTAATGTTGAAGCCTAACTTGAAGGATTTTTAGCATTACTTTGCTAGCAATCAACAGTCTGCATTGATAACTAAGTCTCTTCTTTTCAGAAGACGAACCTATAATGCAAACTACATCTGTACCTGTTGCCCTCTGACTCTGCAGGAGCCACATTCTGCATCTGTTGTCCTTTAGCTTATTCCAGCCACGTCCTGATAACAACTTTACGGCATCATAAACCGCCCCTCGTAGTTTGTTACCTCTCTTTGCTCTATTTTAACCTCATGTTGATGCTTAACTTTATGGTACACTCTGTTTGGAAGCCACCCGCTAGTAGTTTGCTTTCCCCCCTTTTTTTTTTAATTTATTTTTTCCATTTATTTTTATTAGTTGGAGGCTAATTACTTTACATCATTGCAGTGGTTTTTGTCATACATTGAAATGAATTAGCCATGGATTTACATGTATTCCCCATCCCAATCCCCCCTCCCATCTCCTTCTCCACCCTATCCCTCTGGGTCTTCCCAGTGCACTAGCCCCGAGCACTTGTCTCATGCACCCAACCTGGGCTGGTGATCTGTTTCACCCTAGATAATATACGTGTTTCGATGCTGTTCTCTTGAAACATCCCACCCTCGCCTTCTCCCAGAGTCCACAAGTCTATTCTATACATCGGAGTCTCTTTTTCTGTTTTGCATATAGGGTTATCGTTACCATCTTTCTAAATTCCATATATATGTGTTAGTATACTGTAATGGTCTTTATCTTTCTGGCTTACTTCACTCTGTATAATGGGCTCCAGTTTCATCTATCTCATTAGAACTGATCCAAATGAATTCTTTTTAATGGCTGAGTAATATTCCATGGTATATATGTACCACAGCTTCCTCATCCATTGGTCTGCTGATGGGCATCTAGGTTGCTTCCATGTCCTGGCTATGATAAACAGTGCTGCGATGAACATTGGGGTGCACGTGTCTCTTTCAGATCTGGTTTCCTTGGTGTGTATGCCCAGAAGTGGGATTGCTGCGTCATATGGCAGTTCTATTTCCAGCTTTTTAAGAAATCTCCACACTGTTTTCCGTAGTGGCTTGCTTTCCCCCTTTTGTATTACAGGAAGAAAGTCACCAGGAATTCCCCAAAGGATAATGGACCCAACCACCTGGACCAACCGCCAGACCCAAATACCTAGCTACCTGACACTGGCCTATTGACTATTTCCAAACAGCACAAAAAGAGAGCATTTAGAACCCCTACACATTTTGTCCCCTATCTCCAACCCCTGACTGTGAGCCCCGACTGTATGATCCCCTGGATTCCCAATGGAGGGGAGAGAGGGTCCTTGAGGCAGGAGCCTACCGTGTTCTCCCTTCTGCCAGCTTGATGATTAAAGCCATCTTTCTGTTTCCTCCAGACTCTGTCTCTGCAAATTTCATTTGGCTCCAGTGGGCAGAGAAAACTAAGATTTCAGTGGCAACAATGCCATTGAGTCAGGCTGGTCCCCCCCACCCCCGCCTCCCCTAGGATGACTCCTGCCAACAGGGATCACAAGGCATCCTGTGTGAGCTCACTCAGCCCTTCCTCTGCCCTTTGTTGACCTGGCCCCTCATTGTGTGGCAATGGACAGGGGCTCTTCGGTGTCTCTGCCTGAGTGGACGGGCTGCAGTCCTCCTGAGAAGGGCGGAGGAGCCAACTGTAAGGTAGGTTTTCAGGAGAGAGAGAGACATCAGTGGTTGAAGAAGGGGTGGGAATAGATGCCTAACATTTAGGGAGTCAGTGTAAAGGATCGCTTTCAGTATAAGAGTACAGAGAGAAATGTGACCCAATGCTTTTAGTTCATCCTTTCTTTTCTATTATTATAAAAGTACTGTTGCTGGGGCCAATGAAGTAAAACCCTCACAGATACTCTGTAGAATTAGGTAAGACTTATTGAAACAGCTTACTGCAAACACTCATTCTATTTTTAGGTTGATGTCACTAAACTAAAATAGATCTCCACTTAGTGAAAGATTCAAATGTTGATCAAAAGATTAAAATGAAAACATTTTATTGCTAAGTTGCCTCAGGACAGAGAGAAAAATGTCAGAACATACAGTTCATGTAAGATGGAAGAGAGGCGGGTGAGTGAAGGTTAGAGACCATGACGGATTATGCCAAGCTTTGACCTGTTCTGTTGGGAATGGGTGAGTGGGTACTTGTGCTCAGAAACACTTTGGGATAAAGCAACTTAATGGGCTCTCTCCAGACCTTCAAAACCCTAAGGATTATGTCCAAGCCTTCCTTCCTTTTCTCCTTCCCTCCTTCTCTCCCTGATTCCCTCCATTCATCCATTTACTCATTCAGCCATATGTTGACTCTTCCATACTAATACCTATTCATAGAAACAAATGCTTGATCACCTGCTCTATGCCAAGCACTGTTCTAGGTGCTGAGAAAGTGAGATAATAAAATAGGATTTGCTACTTTGGAGATTTACATAAAAAGAAAAAGAGAGATATGAACACTGTAAAGCAAAACTGAGTGGAGAGAAGGAAGAGATGAAGAAAAATATCAATGATTTACCTGGTATGCGTGTGTGCTAAGTCACTTCAGTCATGTCCAACTCTTTGTGACCCCATGGACTGTAGCCCACCAGGCTCCTCTGTCCATGGAATTCTCCAAGCAAGAATACTGGAGTGGGTTGCCATTCCCTTCTCCAGGGAATCTTCCCAACCCAGGGATCAAAACTGCATCTCCTGCATTGGCAGGTGGGCTCTTTATCACTAGGGCCACCTGGGAAGCCCCTTATCTGGTATCCTTTGGTGCTTTTCGCTCATAATACATTGGTGAATTACAGGTATTAAGAAATACTCTAGCCCATAAAGCCCCACCTGATTGTGGTCTATGCAAGAGCTTGCTTAGGATGGATCAATTCTCTCTATAAATGGTAGCCAAAAAAAAAAATTTGAGAATGAAAAAAGATAATTTTAATTTCCAAAATTCCTTATCCTTTTTCGGTTGTAAAAGGTGTATGTGTGGTGGGTTGTTGCTGTTCAGCCAATCAGTCGTGTCCAACTCTGCGACCCCATGGATTGAGGGTGTTTATTCTGAAAGGAGAAATAGACAGATGCAGAGACATGAAATAAAGGTGAAAACAGAAATGAATAATTTGCTAACAGAATTCAATTTTTAATGATTTTTCTCCAAAAAATGCACCAAACCTCAGAGCCATAAGCAGAAGTGAGAATCAATGTGGAAACCCTGACTTGCTGCAAACCTCTTCCTTTACAACAGGCAAATGCTTGGACCATGTGTCCATAGATGATGAAACACCCTCAAATTAGGCCCAGCGCCAGCTGAACATCTCTGGTAGGAATAAAAGCACTCTCTTTCCAGCTGAAGTTTTCAAACTCTTTCCCAGATCACCTGCCCCGATTCAGGTGTGCCACGAGACACTGGTTCTGCTTGGAATTCCGAAAACTCCTTTCCCCATCATGAAGCTACTCTACCTTCTCTTCCTCTTACTTGTGTGTCTTATGCAGACAACAGTGGGTAAGTGGCAGATGCAACTGGTCGGGTGATATGGTGGATGACCTTGGAGCCTGGAGTAGGGAAGGTCAAGTTGATTCATCATCCAGTGATGTGCTAAACAGAATAATATCAAGTCTGAGAGAAGCATAGCATATACGACATGCTCCATTTTACAAATAATGAAAGAGAAGCTTAAAGAAGTGGAAAATAGCCTCCCGTGATTGCCCTTAACTAGTTGGTAGTAAACCCATAAATTGTAATGGTGATAGAAAACATTTACAGGGGACTTTACAGCTTACAAATCATTTCCATGTGACAGTAACACTAATAATAATAGTAAATAATGTTGACTACTTCCTCTTTAACCAAAACAACGAAACTTTTAATGTCTTATCCCAAATATAGTCTTCATAGCAATATTTATGGGGTAGGCCATTTTACAAGATGGGATTAAGAAATGAAGTAATTTGTTCAAAGGACGGCAGATTGAATGTAGGGAGCACTTTAACTCAAGCCCAAGTGGGTTTGACTCCAAAGACCTTGTTTTTATGAAATATTCAACAATTCCAGAAAACTAATTTACTTACTGAATTATATAAAATCAACAAATACTTTAGCTTGAGTATGATTCCAACACTTGGGACATACTTATCCTACAAGATTGTTTGTTGATCACCTGAAATCCAAGCTAAAATAAATAAATTAATTAATTAAAAAAAAAAAATAAACTGGGTGTCCTGCATTTTCCTGCAGCCCTCCTCATGTGACGGCATGCTCCAGGCTGTGCTGTGGTGACAGCGCGTCCAGATCTTAGCATCTTAAAAGAGCCAAAGTTAATTCTTGCTCAAATGACGCCAACCCGTGAGGGCCCAGGTGCTCTGAGCAGACCCCACCCCCAAGGAGCAGCCACCACCGTGGGCGCTGCTGGTCCTGTGTCCGAGGAAGGCGCTCTCAGGACTCTCGTGCTGGCGATTAAGGGCCCCAGCCCCGAAGGGAAACGTCAGTTCGGCTCAGAATTCATTAACCAAGCAGGTCCGGTTGTTTAGTCACTCAGTTGTGGTCCACTCTCTGTGACCCCATGGACTGCCGCCCATCAGGCTCCTCTGTCCATGGGGTTCTCCAGGCAAGGATACTGGCGTGGGCTGCCATTCCTTTCTCCAGGGGATCTTTCTGACCCAGGGATCAAACCTGCATCTCCTGTGTCTCCTGCATTGGCTGGCGGATTCTTTACCAGCTTAGCCATCAGGGAAGCCTGAGTGAAGCCCCATAGACGTGTTTAAATGAATGAGCACGATCACCTTCCCATAGAACAATTTATGGCCCCTTCTCAGCTTTTCTACAATTTTTAGAAATGTGGAAAAACCTTCTAAGCCTGTAGGTCACAAGGAGAGTGCCAGTTGCGTCCCTGTGGAGTGTCATTTGGAGTTCTTGCTATCCAAGATGAATTCTGGTAGCTCTAGTTACCTTGCCTTATTTATGTTTCTTTTTCACCTCCCCTTCCTTTACAGCGAAAGGAAAAAAGAACAACCTTGAATGTGAGAAAATGGGTGGTGCCTGCAAGTATCAAAACACCCACGGGTGCGTCATCCTGCCTGGAGAATGCAAGAGTCGGAAGAAACACTGCTGCCGAGTCTAGCTCAGCATCGGGCATCCACAGCCGCACGGGACTCTCCCCGCCGCGGGGGCCTGTTTAATAAGAGCCGCTGCTCACTCGGGTCCCATGGGTCTTTCTGGGTGCATGAGGTCATGAACTGGATGGGAAGATTTCTGTTGCAAGTCTGGCCACACCACTCGTTAGCTGACTAACTCTGGACAGGCCTTTCCTTTCCTAGGTCTCAGTCTCTGCTCCTGTAACTATTGAAATGGATGTTCTCCACAACCTAATTCTGTTGGTGGTGGGCTTTAGTTGCTCAATCACATCTGACTCTTCTGTGATGCCATGGACTGAGAAGCCTGGCGCCAGGCTGCTCAGTCCATGCCATTTTCCAGGCAAGAACACTGGAGTGGGTTGTCCTTTCCTTTTTCAGGAGATCTTTCTGACCCAGGAATCGAGCCCGCATCTCCTGTGTCTCCTGCATTGGCAGGCAGATTCTTTAGCACTGAGCCCCAGGAGAGCCAACCTGTTAATATATGTCTACAGATGTATGGACTGGGGGAAAGCGCTTTGAGTGAGTGTGAGTGTGTGTGTGTGTGTGTGAGTGTGAGTGTGTGTGTGTGTGTGTTACAGTAGGAAAAGTCACCGAGGTTTTGCGTCCCTTTGTGGAAGGACATCTGTGTTTCCATTGGCATGTGGGTTTCCACATGGTAAACGTGTGCTTAACTTCACAAGAGACAGCAAACTGCTTTCCGAAGCAGCCGTGGTCGCTGCTGATAATCTCAATGGCCTCTGAGTTTCCAGTCTCTCCGTATTCCCACCCCTCATCACACCTCCATGTAAAATCCTCTGTGTTTCTCTGTTAAAAGGATGAAGGACAAATTCTCTAGTGTCTCAGGTCCTTCATCCATTGGCCACACTTTCTCGAGTTTCATCTTATCTCAGCCTGGTTCTCACACTAACCCCTGACACAGTGTCAGTCTTCTTTCTGGCATATTTTGTTCTCCTCACACTGAAACACACTTACACTACTTGTCCTCCGACTTTTCCTGCCTGATTTGTACTCGCTTTTTATAGTCTCAGCTCACAAATGGCCTTCACTGGGAAGACATCCTTCATTCACTCAACTTGAGTAAGAGAGGAGACTTTGGTTCCATGGCCTCAGCTACCAGTACAATTCCTAGCACACAGCAGGTATCCAATAGATGTTGACAGAATAGTCAATGAATAAAGAAAACGATAGAATGAGGCCTCAGATTTCCAATTTAATTCAGGGATGATCCATTAAATGTGAATTCTTCAGTTTACTTCTTCAGGAAGTTCCATCAAACATGAGTCCTTCCGTTCCTCCTTAAACAGCAGAAGCTCCTACCAGGGCACACCTCTGGCATGGGAATAAGACAATTTATTTCAGTCACACAAGTTTAGCATTCTACTACTGTGTTCCCAACCTGCAGAAAGAACAAAAATGTCTGTTTTTGGAAGGAAGTCTTGAGATCACTATCCAGCGGAGGAAATAATTCAGTCCAACCAGGAATCCCCAAAATATACTGCCAGGAAAGTATTCTGTCCTCCGCACTGCTTTTCCTTCACTTTGTCTCTCCTATTTACTTGCTTGTTAAGCTGAAGGACAAGGCCAGATTTCAAGAGTTTGTTATAAACAGAAATTTTATGCTGCAACTTGGAAGCTGAAATCAGAGACTTTAAACATCTCTCTTGGGCTGACATTTACAGCCAGCCATTGTGCCCTCTAAGATGGGCCATTGTGGAGTTCTCAGATAATGTCTTTCAGAAACACATTTAAATTTCATAACTTTGTGTTTTTATCTTCTTGGAAAGGGATCCCACCAAAAATAAGGTGGTAGCGCAGCCTTCAGATACTTACTAAAATGTGTTAACATATTCACACAGTATGCCACGCACTTGACGAATGTCAGCAATACTCTGAAGGTCACTCACCATTCCCACACTAAGAGCATACCCCTGCTTTCAGGGTTTCTCAGATAAGTCTTACAATTAAGATTAAAGATCTAAACATTAAGACCCTGAAGCCAAGGACCTAGAATGGTCAGGACACCAGCTGAGGGGAGAGAGGTTTCTAAAAGAGAAGAAGCCTGGCTCCATACCAGGACTGAGGTTGGTTTTGGACTTCTCTGATGGTCCAGTGGCTGGGAGTCCACCTGCCCGTGTAGGAAACACGGGTTTGATCCCTGGTCCTGGAGGATCCCACGTGCCTCAGGGCACCTAAGCCTATGTGCCAAATGGCTGAGCCTGCCATCTACAGTCCAGGACTCGAAACAAGAAGCCTGAGGACCACAACTAGAGAGGAGCCCCCAGTCACTGCAATATAGAAAGCCTGGGCTCAGCAGCAAAGACCCAGTGCAACCAAAAATTAAAAAAAAAAAAAAAGTTTGCTTTTCCTGCCTCTTAGGAGGTAGGGGAGATAAACAAGGCCCCCCCCCCAAGGACCCTCTAAGTCCAGCCTGTTGACTCTGGGTCATTAGTAGAGGTCACCAACTGGGGAGCCCAGGTTGAGTGGTCAGAGGGCTGGCTCTCATTGGCCTCAGCTTGTCGGGTCAATGCCAGGGCTGGGGGCAGGCTCGCACTCCTCACTGCCCACTCAGGGACGCCAACCTTGTTTCCACTTTTGTGAACTGCCCATTTTCCCACAGGCTGAAGGGAAGGTGCTAGCACTCAGCCTCTAGCAAAGAGCTTGCTCATCACGGGTCCTTGCACCCCCAGCCCCATGCCACATCGTGGAGGCTGTCCTGATGCCCACCCATGCCACCCTGGGCTTCATCACAGCAGCTTTGACCCAGGAGCTCTGACCCCTGGACTGCCCATCGCTGGGACCCACGGATGTCCTAGTGCTGCGCCAAGAATCTCACATGAGGAGCCCTATGACTCTCTCTCCATTCTTCCTGAAAGCCCAGTCCCCTTCTCTCTGAAAATTAGCCCAGTGAGGAAACTGACTTGGGGTCACCCATCTGAGTGAGGCCACAGAAACGATCACTGTGCCCAGTGGACCCACAGCAGAGAGCGGCTTGTTGACCAGAACCAGAACGGAGGACGGGGTCTGGGGGTGGGCATCGGGGGGGCTACTGTACCCATCCAGCCCCTGCTCGCTTAGCTCATTATCTGTTGGTTTTGTGAGCTAACACCCTGGGAAGCACGAGGAGCCCTGGGCAGTGAGACCTCGGAAAGGAATGATTGGTCAGATGAGTGTATTTACATTAAGGTAGAATGCTGGAGGAAGAAGAGAGTGAGGGAGAGACAGAGCAGAGCGGGGTGAGCACAAAGCCCAGCATGGCCGCAAAAGACAGCAGCGGACTCCCTGCAGGAGGTGAGGCACCGGCTCTCAGGGACCCTTCAGCCCCTCGTGGTGCTCACCCACACCAGCCACTTTTCTCCCCCAAATCCAGATAGCTGTGGTGTCCCCTCAGCTGTCCCGTACATTCAGCTCTTCTGTCTTGAGGCAGGGGCTTCGGTGCCCCGTTGGAGGATGGAAGGAATGAAAACAGCTCACCAATCTGACCAGGCATCTTGAGACCAAAAAATGAGGAGGCCGCTGGGTATAATCAATGAGTAAGTTGATTACCAGGGTGGAGGGGCACCTTACTTACTCACAGAGCAGGACTCCAAAGCATTCACAGCTCACTCCAAACTCCGAGGATCCTCTGAGACCATTTTATTGCTAACCTGGTGTATGCGGGTGGGGGGTTAGAAATAGGAATGTGTTTTGTTAAGTTAAGATTTGTGGAAGGGTAACTGGTCACATGGGAATACGCCAGGAAAGGTTTTCATCATCATTTGGGGACTAATACAGCATAGAGGCTGCCTGGTCCTAAAGGTTATTAAACAGTATCTATTAACTACAAGACCCTGATGACAGAGACGTGATTCACCGCACAGGCCAGTTCCAGGCAGGGTCAACAGAAGGATGGCAGGAGCTGCACGAGCCCAAGATGGCGTCAGTGATGCTAATAGCCATCCAGGCACCCTCCTCCTGGTTTTCCTTAACCTGCTGTTTCTCTCTGTCTCTGGGCTTTGGCTGAGCCATCTCTAACTTAGAGTTTCAGAGGCTGAGTGTGGGATTTCATTTTCCTTCTCACCCAGAAAATCTTGGGCTTCTCATAAGAAATGATCTCCCTTATTCTGAATGAAGCATTTTCTGTAAAAAGTGTCTTCAGAGTGACTGACTCAAAGATTCTCATACTTTCTCTCTCATCCCAAAATGATGGCTGATTACTCATTCTACATTTATAGAGTCAGAACCCATCAAGTGAAGTGTATTGAAGGTGATTATAATGGTCTTTGTACAACCAGAAAAAATTTAGTCTTACCTTACATAGATTCTGATATCATCCCTAATGGTATCCATGAGGAAAAACAAGACTAGAGATATTCAGTGTGGTGTTCAAGTTTGTGGTGAAATCAAAGTAGGATTCAGGAATCTAACTCCAGATTCTGAACTCTTTATTACTGCAGGATGTTCTACTGGTCTCCTTCCTCAAGGATTAGGTATTAGAATCAAGCGAATATACATTTTTAGAACTGATAAATTAGCTCATGACTTTTCATAGACTAGTGATAATCTAGAAATTAGGATTTAAAAATAAAGATGTTTATATTAATGTGCTGACTTTAAAATTCCTTGTAAAAGGAAAATGTGTGCAAGAATAGATAAAATTATGTTTATAAAGAGCAACATGGTGACTTTCACTACCAGTTATTCTAATTTATGATGATGGCTAAGCTCAAAATACGTGGCATTGGCAAAGGAATTAAAAAAGAATCCCTGATTCAACAAAGGGCAGCCACAAACAGACTATGCAGACACTGACAGCTAGTTTATGATAAAAAGTGTCCTTTACATGAGTGACAGGGGCGGGGGTGGCAGAGGGGAAGTAGCTGTATCTTTAATAAATCATGCAGAGCTGATTGGAGAAAAACTATTTTATGCTCTAAAGGAAGCATGAAATGGATTACAATGGGGTTTTCAAATATAATTTTTAGATCCAGGATATTTTGTAAAGAGTCAG